AAAGTGGAGCACTCTTGCGAGACGAGGCCCTCTCGTTGCTGGATTTACTATGGGAATGGTTATAGCAACTATATAAGCCGTGGTTATTTTTTTTTTCATGAGTGAAATTTCACGGTAAACAGGTCATGTCATAACTTAGCGTTAACTCTCGTGTAACGCCTTTCTTTTTTTTTTTAGAACAAATATTCAAACTTTGCACGTCTAAGGAAGTTTTTCTAAGGTTAGTCTTGACACCCATGAAATTTTACTTCTTGATGCAACATTTTTTGAATATTTAGAAACAACCTTTAACAAATTGAAATTTCATGGGTTTCAGGACCTTCCTAATACCTCTCACATTTATATCGTAAAGTTTGTATGGATTCAGTACACCCAGTTAGCAGAAAAGTTTCATAAATGAGACCTTTTTGACGCGACTTTCACATCACCTTAAGAAGATGTAAAAGTAGCATCTGAAAAGTCAATCGTTCATGAAATTTTTCTCCGAACTGGGTGTGTCGAATCGTTTCAAACTGAACAATGTGAATATGAAGTTTATAAAGAAGGTCCTAACACTCTTGAAATTTCATTTCTTATACATAATTTAAAAAACACCTATAAACGAATTTAAGAAAAAATTGAAATTTCATAAGTTTCAGGACCTTCCTTATAGTCTCCATATTCACATTGTCAAGTTTGAAATAATTCGGTACACCCAGTTCGGAGGAAAGTCTCATGAACGAAAACTCTGACGCCACTTTCACATCACCTTAAGAGGAAATGAAAGGCGCTAAGAAATTTAATCGACGTCGATAAAATAAAATTCATCTAAACCCTTTTTGGTGGTAATGCCGCTTTGAATACGCAAGTGGTCACATAAGCTAGTACGTCCCGTTACCGACATTTATATTTGTTGGTCTTTTACAGTCTACGTTGAAAATTATACGAACTGAAGGGTGCCATATGTCATTTCGGTAAAGTAATGATAAAAAGATCGATGCACAATTATCGAAATCCCATGAATTCATGACTGTTTATATTTTGACGAACCAACGTCACCATCTGTGACGTTTAGCAGCAACTAAATTTTTGCTCTAAAAACACGTGTTAGACCCAGAACAAGCCAGCATTCTCTTGCAATTGTTGGTGAAAGTATTTACCACATTTTCCCATCTGACTCTGTAATATTCCATTCCTATGGTATTCTAAATTATTCGAGCTACGTCCTGAAAGTCTTCATTTTCGATTCTAATCCTCCTAGAAGCGTAAAACATCGAAAACGTGAACGGGCTACGCCATGTTGGTTCTAGTCCATGATAAGTAAATAAATTTTTAATGAAAAATGAAATTTCATGAGTTTCAGGATCTACTTTAGGTCTTCCATATTCACGTGGTAAAATTTCAAACGAATCGGTACACCCAATTCGGAGAATACTTTCACCAACGATTTGACTTCTCAGATATATATATAGGCTGACTTTTTCGTATCACCTTAAGGTTTGCGAAACATGGCGGCCGATCGCGCGAGTCCCTTTACGCGCGCCTGAGCGTATAACGAGCGAACCGCGAGCGCGGCATAACCTAGGGCCGTCTGACCGTCTCTCGGTTAGGTGGATGGAGGTACGCGCAACGCCAGGAAATGCGGCTAACGAAGTTTGCGAAGTCACTTAACGGAATTACGCGCTCGCCTAGCGTCGCGGGTCTGCACTTACGGCGCGCCTCTACCGACGCAGCGTGGAGTCCTAACGACGCCCGGCGTCGCGTTTTCCGACCCCGCGTCCCCCAATAAACTCGATAAATAATATCGACGCACTCTGAGCAGCTAAATTAGGTTAGGGCAGACGTACCGTAGGCAGCGTTTGCCGCTAGCCCCAGCCAGGACCGTTTCGAACCCACTTGATCCGTTTATATATTAACATATATAATAACGGTTTACAAGACGAATAAATTGAACGTTTACCAATAGATAGACAGTAACTTTGAGTTAACATAACGCGAGGTTCAATCAACAACATGGAAATTGTGAATTTTTCGACGGGAAAAATGAGATCATAATTTTCCTCCATTTCCGTATTTAGTAAATCAAGATGGCGACGCTTCTTCGTATTCTTCGGCAAGATGCGATCGGTAGACGACACAAGGGTGGTAAAGATGGGCTCGGGATGGATTCGAGAAGCTGAGGTACCGTTAATTACAAGCAGCAAGAAGGGGCAAGACGAAGCGAGGGGTGCGTGACTCGGAGGGTGTTATTGACACGCTGGTGTCGAGGCGGCCATCTTGGCCCGACGGTAGGTACGTCCTTGTCCCCTTCGCGTGACATTCGGCCGACCTAACCTCATCTGGCCGCCCTAGTCACCCTTTCGACCAACCCCGGCTCCGGGCTCCGAAGGTCCCGGGGGTTGCTTGTCGCCATGGCGACCAACGGTTGCCCAACCCCTCGGCCGAGCACGAATTCGTGTCCCGGTCCCGGGTGTACGCGCGGCCGCCGCACTTTTGCGCCAAGACGGTTCGCCCGAAGTGGGCGTGTGCGGCTCGCTAAACGGCGCACCTACGTATGTGATGTCGCACCCGCCATCTCTACGAATGCCGGCTGCCAGGGTTGGAAAATTCGCGTCAAATTATTAATCCGTATATGTATTACGTAAGTATGTAGGCATAAACGGTATTAAACAACGCATCTATGTGATTTTACACCCGCCATTTTTACGATTCCCAACGATCGGTTAAAAAATTCGCGCCAAATTATTAATCCGTATATGTATTATGTAAGTATGTAGGCGTAAACGGTACTAAACAACACATCTATGTGATGTCACACCCGCCATTTTTATGATTCCCGACGATCAGGGTTAAAAAATTCGCTCCAAATTATTAATCCGTATCTGTATTAAGTAAGTATGTGGGCGTAAACGACACTAAACAACGCATCTATGTGATGTTACACCCGCCATTTTTACGATTCCCAACGATCAGGGTTAAAAAATTCGCGCCAAATTATTAATCCGTATATGTATTATGTAAGTATGTAGGCGTAAACGGTACTAAACAACACATCTATGTGATGTCACACCCGTCATTTTTATGATTCCCAACGATCAGGGTTAAAAAATTCGCTCTAAATTATTAATCCGTATCTGTATTAAGTAAGTATGTGGGCGTAGACGACACTAAACAACGCATCTATGTGATGTTACACCCGCCATTTTTACGATTCCCAACGATCAGGGTTAAAAATTTCGCTCCAAATTTTTAATCCGTATATGTATTACGTAAGTATGTGAGCGTAAACGACACTAAACAACGCATCTATGTGATGTCACACCCGCCATTTTTACGATTCCCGGCCATCAGGGTTAAAAATTTCGCTCCAAATTATTAATCCGTATATGTATTACGTAAGTATGTGGGCGTAAACGGTAATAAATAGCGCATCTACGTGATGTCGCATCCGTCATCCCTACGAATTCCGGCTACCAGGTTCGAGAAATTTTGCGCCAAATTAATAATCCGTATATGCGTCACGTAAATATGTGTGCGTAAACGGCAGTAAACGGCGCACCTGCCATTCCTACAATTGTCAACCATCAGGGTCAGAAAATTCTATGATTTCGCGATTTATGATTGATTAATCCATGCATGCAATACACAAGTATGGGTGTGTAAACGGCACATCTATGGTCACCACAAATGTCAGAAAATTTGATGGTTTCACGACGAAATTAATAATTCATGCATGCGTTTTGTAAATATATGTACGCAAATAAACCTGATACCTGTGATATCTCCAAAGATTAACCAGATAATTAAGATTAGATAACTTTAATTTATTCAAACGATTTAAATATTGTTTTTATTTTATAAGCTGATGTTCCCCATTCCAGGAAGTTCAGTGAATATATTGATGGTAATTGATCTCATTTAGATAATTTCACAATTTTTTAATCAACTCGGAATACGAACGACCTATGAACATGAACTACATTGATCGAAAATCGCAACATGACCGGAAGGTTAAAGTTTTGTCGTTGGCGGTTATAAGAAATTCTTCTAACTGAAATAGTATCTAAAACAGCGCACCATTTTACCGACGTTTACAAGTATATCGACAGCGGTGTCGCACCGAGAATGCAGTTATTTCAGTGAAATGTTTATGAAGAGATTGCAGTAAAATTCAGAAATAAACTGGGTTCATAATTTTTGATGCTCCAATCGACTGCAAAGTCATCTGTTGTATGTAGGGGAACTAAATTTTTGTTTCAAAAACTAACAAGGAGTTTGTGTTACCCATGCACCTGAAGATTGCGGATTCAAATTTATCTATAATAATTTTTCGAGTCTGAAGGTAGAATTTTCGATTACTATCATAATTTTAATCATTGAGAATGACTCCCGGTGCTCTTAATTGTCACTTTTAAGGCTTTTATAAGTGAATAATGCAGAAATATGGGACCAGGACGCCATGTTGATTCTGGTGGAGATCAAAAGGTGAAAAACTTCTTTGGAGTTACGAATTGAAATTCCCTGTTTCAGGAAACTGTTTAAACGAAATATTACGAGGAAGAAAGAAGATAATGGACGTGAAACTTAATGACCGGTTTCTGAAAGATAAACTCGAACTCGTCTCTACGGAAACTGTATATGTATAAAGGGAAAGCAGATGCTCCTCGATCCGGAGGAACATATCGTATATAATAAGCTTTCAAATTTTCATGCTCTGGCGATTTAGAATATGTTATGTAACATTCGTTACATATGGCTACACTCTCAGAATGTCGACCCTTACAATGGAGGCAGAAGCCTGGAAATTCGAGGCGCCATTCTCTATCTGTTCCGATGCACATCTTATAAACGGGGGTTCACCTGTGTAATATTATACAAAAAATATACCGCAGTTTTAGATTTTACGAAATTGTAACCCTCCAGCGAAATTAAATTTAAAAAAATTATATTCCAATAGAATTATGAAACGCTTAAATTAATATCGATTTAGATCAATTTCGAACATTACTAAAAGTACTCACCAAGTTCTTTTTCCGCCTGCTTTTGAATCTCACCTGAAACAGACAAAGAATAATCATTAACCTCTAGGAATATTTCTGCAAATCAGAGAAGAACAATTATTCAAGACACGTTGACAAAAATCGATGGGAATTTACATACATTTTTACACACCTTATAACTGAAGTTTCACATAGGCAAACGTAAAATGGAAAAATTACAAAATATAAAACGTATAAATACAATGTAACATATTTACCGTATTAGTGTATTTTTATTGGAATCAAATGTAACAATACATTAGAATTTCCTATACCTGAACTTAGATGCAGATTGAAATTACAGAGACAATCTAATTTTCCTGCAATTTATTGTGACATCAAGATGGAGTACGCAAATTTAAATGGGAATTTTTAGCAGTGTCCGTTATCGTTCGGTAGCACTGTTAAAATTAATTTACCCAAATTTTGTACATTTCCAGTACCTAAACAATATTATTCCGTTCATTACGACTTTTCCTAGCGGGTAGAAAAATTTAATCAGATGCATAAATCAAGTTTCCCAATGTTGTTTAAATAAAAAGAGAAATGGCAGGAAAGCTGAGATTTTGCTCGAGGTTAATCAAGGTTCGCGAAAGAAAGTAGAAAATAAAGTTCAGAATCGAAGCCAATCGAACCAACCTAACCTGGAATCGCCGTTAAGGTTCGTCGAGGTTCGCACAGCCGTGCAGGTACTCACGTACACGCATGCGCGTACGACGGTGAAAAGATCGACGTTAATAGGCATTATATTTTGAGCTTGTATTATGAGCGTTCGGATTATGGGCCTGTCAGTGGCCTAATAACTGGTCTAAGACCCAGGGCACATCTGATACGGACGAGGGCCCTCTTACAATGTGCGTATTAAATACTAATCGTAATGTGCACGAGCGCGCTCGCGCACACGCACGCCGCGCATTGTGAAATCCTGCGAGTTAGGATCATCAAAGGCGCCGCGGAGGGCCTTAAAAACGACCGACAAACGGCCGCCTCCTTACGGACGTGCGCCCGTGCGACCGCGCGCACTTCCAAAAAAGAAACTTATCACTCTACGCCAAGATTGTGTCCGGTTAAGAGGAATCCCTAATGGCGGCCATCTTGGACTTCCGTTGACTTGCATATCTTGCATATCTTGATACAGTATTTTTTAATAAAGAACATGACAGTTTTAAGAAAGAAATTTATTATTGAACGCCGAAATTTTTTCCGATTTAGAGGAATCTTTATGGCGACCATCGTGCATTTCTGTTGACTCCGCAGGATCGTTGGAAATATTACATGATGACGAGTGTTGTATTCAGAATGAAACGATACGTAATCAGTGCAAATTGCTGTACTTTTTAATAAAGTATTTGATAGTTTGGAGAAAGGATTCAGAAATGCAAAATATTTCAGAATTTCACTAAGAAACGCGACGACGTTTCAGACGAGTCCACCCTTTTTGGACATTAAAAATATTTTGTTACGATTTTAACAACTATTAACTGTTCATATTGCATTCAAGAGAAGTTATCGAAGACCCTCTTCGAATCAACAGTGAATTTCTTTGAGGGAAGTTATTCCTAAGATTACTTTACTTCGCGTTGGCAGCTCTTTGCATACGTGCGTAAAGTGCGTTTTACATCTGGTTAGAAGATTCCTCGCGTGCATTTGCATCCGAACATTTGCAAACGAATTCCCAAGCACGTTCGCACTCTCCGAGGGAAGCTCTGCGAAGCTTTTCCAAGTCGAAGAACTCTCGAGTTTGCGGTTGTGAACTCGACGGACCCTTCGGCGAACTTCAACAAGTGCATCGCTTCTCGAGATTTCGGGCCCGGTGTGTAGATGTACACACGACCGGAAGTCGAGGCAAACTTCGAGTGAATTTTGGAAACAATTCCCTCGATCGTTTCGAGTCCCTCGGGAGTTCGAACACCCTCCTCTTTCGCCAAGAACCGAGGGGCGATTCCATTCATCCCCGAGGGTTCGAAATTCGGAGTTTGATCCCCTTTGGGTCTCCATAAGATCCCCGTATATATTATCCCTCCTGTATCCGCGTAATGAAACCGTTTCAGCACCCCCGTGTGGAATCATCCCTCGCACAAAAACTGGGGTGTAACCCTCCTATCATGGTTCATATGCATAAGTACACGTGCGCAAACCAGGCTGCGCGAGAGCACTTTTAAAAACTCTCTCCATGAAAAATTAATTCAAGAAATATTTCAAACCTTGAATCTTAACCTTGAGATATTTTTAAAAATTCATACGATTTCTGTAAGTACAATAAAGTGCAGCCCTCCTATCATGGTACATACGCATAAGTACACGTGCGCAAACCAGGCTGCGCGAGGGTACTTTTAAAAACCCTCTCCATGAAAAATTAATTCGCGAAATATTTCAAACCTTGAATCTTAACCTTGAGATATTTTTAAAAATTCATACGATTTCTGTAAGTACAATAAAGTGCAGCCCTCCTATCATGGTTCATACGCATAAGTACATGTGCCCAAACCTGGCTACGCGAGGACACTTTTAAAAACCCTCTCCATGAAAAATGAATTCACAAAATATTTCAAACCTTCATTTTTAAATTCGAGGTATTTAAAAAATTCATGCGGCTTCTGCAAGTAGAATAATTACGCCATTAAAAATGCCTCTCCGTGCAATTCAAGTATACATGATTGTAATAAAATGGCGATCAAATTTCGAATTTTCTGCGATGATATACAATAATACGCAACAGTATAATTATACTGATGTTTCATCCGAAATGTCTAAAAACGAATTTGTAAGATTAAAAAGCATGTATACAGTGAGAAAAAAAATACATTGAACCGAAGAAATAATTTCTTAATTTGAAGAATAATTATTTAACTCAAATAAATTCAAAGAAACTGTCAATCCCGAAGAAACGTTGTATCCAATTTATTCAAGTTCGAGTCGAACGATAATTCCTTGAATTAAAAAAATATTTCATTGGTTTAATGAATGTTCTTTTTCTCGGGGTAACGTGTTAATTAATTAAGGATGAGCTTGATATTTAAGGAAATTACCGTCCCCGATTCCATTCTAGGATTTCAATTCCTGGAGGGCATTGTCGGGGAGTCATCGTATTCTCCGCCGGCATTGTTAACGTCATCGTCATCATTAGCGGATTCCCGTAATTACTTGATCCCTCGGGAGCTCGAAGGTAAGCCCGCCATTTCTAGCCCCTGCTCGGTGTCTCGAGTGGATCGAGCCACGGTTGAGACCTCCGAGAAACCTCCGTACCGGGGAGATTAATTGGTGGGCTTGTCATTTTTCAAGAGAAAGGAAAAAGGAAAAAGGAAAACGGAGAAAAACGCGCGCGAGACTCTCCGCACTCTCTCGTTACCTGCACTCCTGGTGGTTGTTGATTTTCCAGAAGATCCGCGCGAGATGCAGCCAAAGACGATGAAATGAAAAACACCATTAAGGTGTTATTAAAGAATCGTTACATATATATATATCAAAACGTCAAAATATTTATAAAATTCTTCTCTAAATAGACTCTTTCTCGTATTTCCTCGTCCCTTGAAAATCCTGAGTACATTAAATTAAGATTCTAAATTTACGTGGAATAAAATATTGCCTTCCTCAAAATCGACCAGTGATGAGATACTTAAGGCGTTATGAAAGGGTCATTTTATATATATATAAAAGTCAAAATATTTGTAAAACTTTTCTCCAAACTGGGTACACTGAATCATTTGAAACTTTAACAGGTGATTATGAAGGTCCTAAAGAAGAACGTGATGCTCGTGAAATTTCAATTTTGAAAAAAACATTTTACATTTTTTCCAGACAGGATCATATTTTTCTTTTATAAATGAAATTTCATTAGCATGGTGTTCCTCCTTAGAGCTTCCCTAGTCACGTGCTGAAGTTTCAAATGATTCGATGCACCCATTTTGGAGAAAAGTTTTATAAAGACTTTGACTTTCTGATACATATAAATGACACTTTCGTAACACCTTAATCGTCTGTGTAATAATGGAATTGTCCACGGATGAATTTTGAAAAATTAATTCTTAAAGTTCCTTTTTCTTCAGAACGCCAGCGCCAAGTTTGAGCGACATTTTCCTTTCGATTTCGACGCCGAGGGGGTAAGATGCTTTCTCCCAGTTTGGCAGGGCGGTGGTTTATTTCTCGAAAGCGGCGAGCACAAATCGGGTGCTCGGCTCGCGCACGTGCCGGTAAAAGGTTCCGCTTAGAAGCTTTGACGTGCGTCAGGATTGAAAAGCGGAACCGGCTGTCGAGATACGGATCTGACCAATCATAAAGCCGCATAATGGCCACTTATTCATCCGAGCCCGCCGAACACTCCTAGCAGGCGGAACAAAAGCGGAAATTAGTCAGGTTCGTTGTGCTTATTAATTGACTGACATTTCCGTCATATTATTGTACGATGAATTGAGAGACCGCTTCGGAGCGGTCCCTTCGGAGCCTCTGTGGAACCGACAGAGATGGTCACCAAGACTTTGCTTTTTTATCGACAATTTTATCCTTACGATTCCCAAACGAGATATTTAATTATTTTAAGGTCGAATAATGATACACTGTCTTGCGACAAGTACTAACGATTTCGGTCGGCACTAAAAGGGTCAACAAAATTTTCAAGAATCTATATAGACCAATAATTCAAAATCATAACAAGAAATTTGACTTGCAACGATAAACGTTAACACTCGAAAATGGGCGAGCAAAATATTTCTCAGGAACATTATTATTATATGGACAACGAAAAAAAGAAAAACGATTATTTCACGATTTTATGCTTGCCATTCCCAAACGAGATATTATACAAATTTCCGAGAGTAGGACTACACCATTAAAAACAGGTATTTGAAAATTCAATACATACAGGATTGCACGAAGATTAAAAATTTGATGTAAGGATTTAAATCGAGGCGCAACGTTCGTCAATTTATGAACATAATCAGTTTTATGGGAGCGTTTAGATTCATTTATAAAATTATACAGAGCATTTATATTAAATGATGCGAATGCATTGTGTTTGA